CATATGCATAGTGTGAATTCATAATTGAAATAATAATCTAACTTTTAATTTTGCATTTTCTCAATCCTACATGTGCTAGATTGTACACATATTGTTATAGAAGTCCATTTATAAAGACAGCTCAAAAATGGACCAAACATTTAAGAACATACAGAAAGGTAATTTGAATGTTACACATTTTCCAAATGGGAGATTTTATCACTTTCATCATTGTAGTAATAGTGCCCAACGTCCTTTCATGTCTATACCACATTTTATTTTTTTGTCCCTCCTTTTGACACGTGAAGTAGATACCAATTTTCACATGAGGAGAATAAGGCGTGGAGAATAGTTTAGTTCCACCTCTGGGTGCTTTCCCTCTGAACCATACTTACCAGGATGCCATTCTGCTCATGCACGTATGAACTATAAATCACACCGGATTACAAGGCTTTCAGGATTTGTGTAGCTAGGTGCTATAACACTACCCCGAACAGCTGCCTGAACAAAGAGACGTGTACTTGAACATAATGCTTTAAAAAGTATACTTCATGAGATGGATTGTCTATTTTCTATACAATTAGAATCACTTTTATTTCATAAGACTGTAAAGTGGTTTTGGATACAAACTAATATTGGGCAAATAGTGAATACCATTCAATTGTAGAGACCAATTCAGAAAGCCACGCTGTGAATTGAGCAACTATGCCTTCATGGTTTAAAATGCTGGTTTCTTATGCAATGTGGGACAGTTCTTATTTCTTCTGAAATTGCGATTATACATGTATTTGTTCCTTTTAGTTTTAGCATCACAAATAATTCTGACTTGGAATTAGAGATCATGCTTTGAGGGCAGGAAGAAACTTGCACGTCATATTGGAGTTTTGATTTATTATATAATTATATAATTTATTGTTATATGATATGCTCTAATCTTACAATTTGGGCTTTAAAAATAATTTTCTGCTTTAAAATTTCTCACAAGGTCTTTCTTCAGACTCCCTCATTCACCTTTAGAGTCATAGCAGAGCTTCTCATTTGTTGGCAAGTGAACCAGATCTTCTCTTTTTCTCTCCCTGAGTTGTGTTCAGAGTAATTTTAAACACTTGCCTTGCAGAGGAAATAAACTTCTCCATTCTTGGGGAAAACTGTTCAAAAGATCTGACCGTGTAATTCTCAAATGAGTTTAAAGAATTTATGGCTTAAATGAATATAAATTCTCATTTACCTTTTACTTTGAGCGTGGCTACTGTTTTCAGTTAATAGCATTTTGTACATTAATTGCTTCCTTCAAATTCCTGTCAGCTTTATAGTAGGTAAGTGATACTTCCTCAAACCCCACTCTGTTATGCATTTGAAGAAACATAAAAGATTAATCTAGGTTTTCCTAAATCTCTCATTCTAGAATATGAGTTTCTTAATTGCTTTATATTTATATCCCTAGATATCATTTCTGACTTTTAGACTGTTAACCAAAAATATAATGAATTCAAGATAGTCTTTATATGTCTAGATTAGTTGGGCATGTTAAAGACTTTATGTATCTTCCATCACAGAAACCAAATATCTTCAAATGAAATAGAAAAATAAACAGGTAGGAAAAGAAGAAATAAAAATGTCTTCATAGTGGATATGATCTTATATTTGGAAAATTCTAAGGAATCTATAAAAGTCTACTATGATTAATAAGTGAGTTTAGCAAGGTCATAAAATACAAGGCCAATATTTGAAAGTCAATTATATTTCTATATTCTAGCAACAAACAATTAGAAACAAATTTAAAAATCAGTACCACTTACAGTAACTTGAAAAAACATGAAATAGAGATAAATTTAACAAACTATAGCTACAACTTTTCACTGAACGTTGTAGTGTATTACTAAAAGAAAGTAAAGAAAATCTAAATAAATGAAGAAATGCACCATGTTCATGGATCAGCTCAATATTACCATGTCAGTTTTCCACAAGTGGATCTATAGATTCAGAGCAATCCAAAATCAAACATCAGTGGACTTTTAAAAGAAATTGATGAGCTGATGGTAAAATTTATATGAAAATGCAGATAACTTTGAATAGTCAAAATAGTTTTGGAAAAGATACGCAGAGTTGGAAAATTCATACCACCTAGTTTCAAGAGTGATTATATAGTAATCAAGGCAGTGTGGTATTCACACAAGGATAAATACATCAAAGAGATTGGAAAAGTCCAAAAATCAGCCCACAAGTATCTAGTCAATTGATTTTCAACAAATGTGCTCAAGTAATTCAGTGGCAGTAATGAATAGTCTTTTCAGTAAATGGTGTGGAAACAACTAGTTATCCATGTGGAAAAATAATGAAACTCCACCCTTACCAAACATCATGCATGAAAATTAATTTGAAAGATATAGACCTAATATAAAATCAAAACATTAACACTTCAAGAAGAAAAATAGGAGAAATCTTAGCAATCTTAAATGGGGCAAAGATTTCTTAGATAGGAAAAAAAGGCACAAATCTTTTTAAAAAGGTATAAATTGGACTTCCTTGAAAGACACAATTAAGAAAATTAGGAGGTAGGGGTGCTTGGGTGGCTCAGTCCATTAAGCGTCTGCCTTCAGCTCAGGTCTTGATCCCAGGGTCCTGGGATCGAGTTCCGCATCAGGCTTCTTGCTCAGTGGGGAGCCTGCTTCTCCCCCTGCCTCCCGCTCCCCCTGCTTTTGCTCTCTCTCTGTCTTTGACAAATAAAGTCTTTTTTAAAAAATTTAAAAAAAAAAGAAAATTAAGAGGTAAACCACAGACTGGGAGAGGAAAATAAATAAATCAGAGATACACAGACAGTCTTTGTATGTGTGTATGTATCTATGTGTATTTATTACATAGAGTATACATATATGAAGATATGCATCCAGAATATATAAAGAACTATTACAACTGAATAATAAAAAGCTGGACAGCCCAGTTTTTTTAAATTGGCAAAATATTTGAAAAGGTATTTCATTGAAAAAGATATATGAATGCTCAGTAAGTGCATGAAAAGATACTTAATGGCATTGGTCATCAAAGCATTGGAAATTAAAACCATTATAAGGTACCATTAGCTATTCAGTAGAATGGCTAAAATTTTAAAATACAGTACCATGTGTTGGTTAGGATGTAAAGCAACTGTAATTTTCCTGCATTGCTGGTAGGAATATAAAATGGTACCACCACTTTGAAAAATAATTTGGCAATTTCTTTAAAAGTTGAACATCCACTACTGTAGAACATCAATTCCACTATTAGTTATTTGTCTAAGAGAAGTGAAAATTTATGCCCCCACAACAACTTGCACACAAATGTTTATAGTAACTTTGCTCATAATATCCAAAATCCAACTCAGAATAGAAGAATAGCTAAACCAAATGTACTACATCTGGTACAATGAAATACTATCAGTAATAAAAAGGAATGAATTACTGATACTTGCATCAGCATGGACACTCTGATTCTGAAACTCTAGAAAAAACACATCTAATATGGGCCCAGGGTGAGGATGATTTACTAGAAAGGAAAATGGTATAGTTTAGGTTATGAAAGTGTGTATCTTTATTGATGTGGCGATTACAGGTTATGTTTGTGAAACTTACCAACTGTACATTTAAAAGAGATGTACTTTATTATGTGTAAATTATACCTGAATAAGGATGAAAATTACAGAATTTATAAACTCTACTTATACTTGATTCCCAAAGGAAGATAACTCAAATGATAAATGAACACCCAAGCATAATTTCAAAGTCCTGTTTGGAACTATATAAAAATATTGCTATAAAGACAATTACTAGCATCTGAGTATAAAAATTTTGACTTTTAGTGCATTTGTACAATACAGTGGTATATTTCATTTAAACTTATGATCCAATACAGCAACATACTATAATCCGAGGAAAACATCAGTTAAGTATAGAAAGACGATTAAACAGTCACATCCAAAATAATGAAATTAAATGATATATAGAAACTAAATCATGTGAACTCATATTTTTAGAAAAATAGAACTATATATTAGTGTGAAAAGATGTTAAGTGAGTATTAATTTGTTAAGCAAGACACATAGTATTGATGAGGTTGTATCATAAGTGACTGCAGCTTGCAGTAAGTGAGTGACTTCCCTTGTTTTTACTTTATACTTTTTTTCTTACAGTAATTGATATAAACATATATTTCCCTTTGTCCCTTTATTTCTTGTAACCACACCTTTCCTCATAGTGTCTTTCTTCAAAACTGAATTTTCAAATTCATGACCTCTCCTTATTTTAGTTTTTCTTTTTAACAACAAAACCAAAATCTGTATTTGTTTCCTCTTCTTCTTCTTATCTCCAAAGTCATAGTAACTTAGCAGAAGTTAATACCTCTTTATTTACCCACCTGAGGCATGCTATTCCTCAGAATGTTTTTGAAGCAGAGTTTGCATTGTAAAAAGGACAGTATTATGGAAATGATTCTCAAGTTCAATTGTACAAGAAATTATGAGTTTGCCTCCACTTTGTAGGGCAATAAAAATGTGTGAAGTACTGTAGAATGGATTACATCTCTTTTGTCTTCTCCCAAAGTGATAATTTTTTTTTTTTTTAGAACAGCATGCAAGCAGGGGTTGGGGGGTCGGGGGTGGCAGAAGGAAAGGGGGAGAGAATCTTCAGCAGGTTCCACACCCAGCGCCCACCGGAGGCAGGGCTGATCTTAGGACCCTGAGATCATGACCTGAGCGGAAATCAAGAGTCAGATGCTTAACTGACTGAGCCACCCATACACCCCATTTTTTATTGTCCTTTTTATTTTTCCCCTTTCTTTTCCTTTAGGGTATGTCTACAATCACCTGTTCAGTTGCTCAGCTAACCTCCCCTTCCACACAGGCATACCATTTAGAGTATATATGTGATATTAATTTCTTGAGGCTTGATGGACTGTGATGAGCTATCAAGCTCAGTGCTTTTTTTTTTTTTAGCATTCCTTTTTGCTGGAGAATCCAACTATATTAGTCTCCTTTCACCTTCCTACAGATTTGTTATTGGGCGAGAAAAGCCAGGACAAGTGAGTGAGGTTGCCCAGTTGATAAGCCAGACGCTGGAACAAGAAAGGCGCCAGAGAGAGCTGCTTGAGCAGCACTACGCCCAGTATGACGCCGACGATGATGAGGTGAGTAGCGCGTGAAAACGTCCTTCCTACCTTTCTCCCCACCACATTCTACTTTACAAAACTCTCTTTACCATGTAAAAGTATGATAGGTTCTTTGCAGTGTCTCATGGAGAGCGTGTCTACATTAAACCTCACAGAAGAGAAATATTACTTACATCTGTTATTAACTTATGAATCAAGTAATGGTATCCTGTTTATAGCCTGAAGACTTTGGGATCAAATAAGTCATGTTTTACTGAACTATTAAAAGAAATTCACGGAAACAAAAAAGAGTAAAAACACCAACATGTGAATAGTAGCTGTCTTTATTGTTGGAATTTGGTGATTTTCTCTCCCTGCTTTATATTTTTTCGATTTCTCCCCCAGTTTTCTACAGTAAGTTTGTAATGCTTTTTGAAAAAAAATCAATAAACATTTTGATTGAAATAATGCACACATACTTACACAAACACACACAGAAAAGTACTAAAAATTGCTGGGTGTTTTCAGGTTTCTTTTTTTCCAGGAGGAAAACGTTCTTTAGATCTGCTCACTGTGATTTGTGCTAACATAATGCAGAACAAAGCTTTTCCACCAGCACATATTCCATAGAGTAGATACATATTGGAATAATTTTGCATCCTACTCTCTGAGGAAGATCAAGTAAATGAATAGAAGCTAACCCCCAAGTGAAAATGGCTCTCTGGAATCCTTGTGTGTTGTAATGTAATACAGATGCTGGTCTATTTCTAATGTAGATGCCAAATGTACGTTGATATAATGGGACAACATGCTTTATTATAAACATGTTTAAACACGCATGTGTTTCATATCGGCATGTCAGAAGACCTATCAATAATTTAATCAGAGTATTTCATACTCCATAAACATAGTAAATATTCAGGTAAAACGTATATTATTTATACCAGCTGATACAAGGACAGTGCAGCTTCATATGTTCAACCTCTACTCATCTGAATATATTCTTTTTCCAGAGCTTTTTTTTGGACTCTAGCCAGGACATAGTGAAGATTAATAAATAGACATTGAAATATTTTCATGTATTTTTAGTCTGGAATGTTTTAACCCAAATGTATCTTAATTTTTTGTGTGTTGGTAGTTTATAATGTAGTTTATTCTCCATTTATTATAGTAAACAATTAAAAATGGTGCATCAGTTAACTTTGGATCAGAGAATAAACATTACAGAGTCTTCACATGAATGAATTTGTCTCTTAGAATTCTGTTTAGTTGATTTAATTTTTTACTTGCAGAGTCCATTTGAAATGGCAAGGTTTTTTTTTATTATACTGAGATACAATGTATGTAAATGTTACCTTGGATTTAGAAATTAAAAACAATTTCCTCAAATATTTAAATGTTCATCTTAGTCTTCAGTTCTCTGTGCTAGTGTTTTGTGTTTTATCAGAGACACTGATTTGCTTTGGCTGCAAGCCTGTTTTTAGGACTGTAGAATCATTCTCTGCAGATTTGGTTTTTACCTGCTGGCTCTGCTAGAAAGAATTTGGATGTGAGATTCGGGGGAGTTCGGGTGACATCAAGTGGAGGAAGGCGAGGAGGCCAAGCTTTCCCAGTTTGTGGGCCTCAGTGTCTTTGGCTTTAAGAGATTGGGCTGAATTTCTGCACTCTTTTCTAGCTTTTAATATTCTGTGAGTGTGTGAAATAAAACATCAAGTCTAGCAAGGAAAGAGGGAAAATAAGACAGTTCTTTAAAGCTCTCCAAGTGAAAATTTTAGATCACCTGCTACACACTACATACTTCTTCCAGTTATTTTGAGGAATTGATCACATTCAGTTCCAAAAGTTTTCAACTCAAGCCCCTAAAGCTTTTTGTTTGTTTATTTGATGTAAGATTCTAATTTAGTAATTTGAGTCAATGCAAAATGAGTATTTGTTACTCGGCTTTTATCCTTAGGAGCACATCATATAGATTTTTTGTTTGTTTGTTTGCTTAGTTTTTATGAGGAAAGCAAAGTTGATTGTCACCTGAGCAGATATTTTCAGGACTAAGAAAGGTAAATAAATATTCAGTGCCTGGCACTTGGCAAGGTGCATTTCCCTACATGATTTCATGTAATCTTTACAGCACACAGAAAAGATTTCTTTTTCTAGAAATGACACAAACGAGCCCTTTTCTAGCCATATAGCTAGTAGTTGGCAGATTTATGATGGGAATAGGGTCTTCATATCTCCAAGGTTGGGACTCTTTACAACATATTGCTGTTTTTTAATGGAGTGGACTAATGGGTCTGTCTTTGTTCAGGTACCCACAGAATAACTGGGTGACGAGATGTTGGAAAGAGGATTCTGTGTTAGGTGATGGAGTTTCTTGTAATACTTAGGTTCTGTGATTCTTTATTCAGTATTTCTAGTAATAGGGGAATTAAATACTTGGAGAATTATTTTATTCTAGGCAAATAATCTGTAAGTATCCTATGAAGATAGGGCTTAAAGGGAAGAATAATTGAGTATATGATTTTTTTTTAATTCAAGTTTAGCTTTAGGTTAAACTTTTTTTCTGTCTTCAAGTTGTAGAAATAGAAATCAAGAAATAGAAATCAGATGCTCACTACTATGTTATTCCATGTAACCTTCACTTTACTGAAAAGGTCAGGGAACCTTTTTCTTTGTTTCTCTCTCATGCTCCTCTCTGACTTGTATTTCTCTCCCTTTCTTGTGTGTTGCCAAAACATGCTCAGTTAAAACCAACTGTTAATATTCTGTGCATAGGAGAGATGAAAGCTGTACAAATAATGAAAATTCACTCTTGTATAAACACTTTATTTACTTGATTTAAATTCATTTTTTTACTAATGCTACCAAATATTGTTAAATCAATTTGAGTGGTATGTCCCTATTTTTTATCCACTCTCTTTCTCTCTGTTAATGAAAAGTAAAATGTCCAAGAGACATAATGGAGGTGAGAAGCACCAATAACCATTGGTTATCCAATGGGTAAATGATCCTTGAATAACTGAGTTAATTTTATATGTAATTCAACAATGTATTGATTTATGTATCTTTGTTAATCCTGAATTGTGTAATCAATCACTTGGCTTCTCACTTTTCTTATCATTTATGGAATCATCTTGTGATTTCAAAGTTAGAAGCATTTTTATTTCACAATATCCTCTATGACATTCCCTGGACCCCTAGGAAAACCTCTGATTAAATGCAGAACAACTAAGTTCATCCAACTAATTTCCAGAGCCAGTGCTTAGATCAGCATTATAGCTTCTGGTTTTGGTCAAATCATCCAAGGTTGATTCTAACTTGGAACTTGTCACATTGATAGAGGGGAGTTGCTTGCTTGAATTGCCCATGGGGAAAACATTGCAATGTTGAGAAATATATCCTGAAATTGTAAAAGTACAGTAGTTCTCTATCAAAACCATATTTAGGCATTAGAATACCTTATTATGTATTGTGTGTGCTTACATGTAGCTGTTTTAATGCTTTAGGACATTATAAGTTGTACTCCAATAGATTTTAAGATATATAGATAATCCCCAGACTCTATTTAAATTTCTACACTTCCTGGGTTCCCCCCCAAATATTTAAACTAGAGGAGTTTACAATAAGCAAACAGCCAAATCAATTTTAATTTACATTCCTATTTCTGTTTACTCTCTGTTAAACATTGTGATTTAAAAAAAAAAAAAAAGTTAAAAAGGCTCTGCCCAAAGGCTGAAGAATGAGGGGAAGGATCCTGTAAAGAAGAAAAAGATTAAATCTGAGCAGTTGAAACATTTAAGATGTAGATCTGAATATATCTGTAATTAGCGATTGCATCTCTGGATCATAGAATTATTGTTCATTTCTTTTTCTTTCTTTTTTTCTTTCTTTTTTTAAACAATCTGGAAGGTAACGATGGAGGATTTCAGTAAGCCCCTCACACAGTCAGCACTATCCCACGAAATTCTGGGGGTATGGTAAATTTTTCAACTAGATTTTAATTTTCAGTAACAAATTTAATCTGTCATACTCCACAACTATCAATGTTTAGCCTTTTAGTGGTGGGATGTTATAATTCTGGCATATGTTTTGTGTAGCATGGGTCATGTATGTAAATTGTGGGGTATATGTTTCTATCCAAGATCATTATGCAATGTGAAATACAGTGGGCTCACACTAGAAATGAAGTATGACTTGGTGCTGTACCACTTTTTTGAATTAGAAAATGCATATGGTCGTTCACATTAAAATAAACTATTTTACATGCACTTTGAAATTATAGGATTATTTTGGTTTGCTTCTTTAAATACGCTTTTAAAATATGATAATTATTACATTTTAAAGTCTCAGATTATAGATTCTGAAGCCCGTTCTCTTAAGAAATAATTTAAGTTCACTTTCATAATTTTTTTCATTACTGGAAATTAATATAATTATAACTATATCATGAGAATATTAGCTTTTAGAATCTTTTAAGGTATTGAATATTTAGAGCAGCTACCTACCTGGATATGCATTTTTATTGCTCGTGTTAACATGTAATAATTAGAGTCAGAAATATAATGGAGCTATGGTTTGCATAAGCGTTAAATGGTTTATAAGAACATAATTTTTAGGCAAAAAGCATTAAAGGGATAACATTAAATTTGACTCATGCTGTTTGCTGTTCCTGGTTGGAAACAGCTTGTGTTGTGAACAAGAGATTGCAATTATTATGGATGGCCTTTTAATAATGTGAATTGACTTTATACTCTTCATAATGTTGAGAAACTAAGAGTGGGAGGCATTCTCTCAGTTCTCAAACGTGTGTGTTCTAGTAGGCACCGGAACGTCAGTGTTTTTTCTACCCTTTATCATTAGGCTGCTCTCTTTAATGGGCAAAAGCCTTCTTTAATTTGTGTTGTCAACCATTTTAGAGCACTGTGGCTGAATTGCAAGGAGTGTCTGGCAACAGCAATAACAATAACAACTGTTTCCTTAAGGTTTGTTTTTTTTGGTGGAAAATAATGCTTATCTGCACCTTTCTGCTTCATGTGTGAAATTAAATATCCTGTGTGTCTTATTAACTAGCTCTGTGCTCAAAGAACTTCTCTAGAGCTGTGTGTTTTGTGTGTTGAATAATAGTTGGAAAAATTATCATTTGAAAAGAGTATTTAATTCTGAAATATAGCACATATTATAGGTGCAGGTTCTGCAAGTTGTACTCACTTCCTAATGTTTAACCATGGATGTTGTTAACCCTTAACACTTTAAATATTTTGTGATTCATATTAAAGGGGAAGAAAAAGATACACAACAAGGCTGTATGATGTATATACAATACAGTGTACACATTGTTTTTAAACCCGGTGGGTTTTTTTAGAAAAGAATCTTTTGATACAAAGTTCTTCATTTTTCAAAAAACTAAATACACATATCTTTAAATTATACTACTACTTATTTACGTGATTTATATGGTAGACATAGCGAAATGTCTAAAAAACTATACACTTCAAATAATAAAATAATTCTCACTATCTTTAGCTGCCAGTAACAGAAATAGAGGAGCTTAAAAATGGAAATCAAGTATATTGGAGATTGGATTATGGTGATGAGAGGAGCCTGAAGAATAGGAGAAATACAAAACCTTTTTAACAACTTGTTTATAGTTGTTATATAGTCTATATATATATAGATTCCAATTTGACTGGATCTTTAAAATCATTAAATTTAACTCCATCCTTTAGTTTGTGATCCCAAAATCTACAGTACTGGTCATTGTCATTGAAACCCGGATTCATAAGATGTTTGGAAAACATTTAGTTGAAGACTGTGTATCCATGCTTGATCTAGCCTACGCATGGTACATGTACACACACACACACACACACACACACTATCCCCTGGTGGTAGACATCCTCCTATACTTGAAGGACCCTCTTTTTTTTTTTTTAAAGATATTTTTATTTATTTATTTGACAGAGAGACAGAGAGAGCACAAGTAGGCAGAGTGGCAGGCAGAGGAAGAGGGAGAAACAGGCTCCCCGCTGAGCAGGGAGCCCGATGCGGGGCTCGATCCCAAGACCCCAGGATCATGACCTGAGCCGAAGGCAGCCGCTTAACAGACTGAGCCACCCAGGTGCCCCTTGAAGGACCCTCTTTAGAAATATTCTTTGTATGTGAAAACATTATTATTTATGATATTGGGCACAGACAGGAAGATGAATAGTATCAAGGGAAGATAGAAGTTAGAATAGAAACCTTTGCCTAAATAATGTCATCTTTTTGTAGCTCATTTCCTTTACATTGTTTATCAAAATGCAAGTGATTTGAATATGTTTTCATGTTATCTTCTTTCCAACTACCACATTGTGATAATATTTAATCATGAGTGAGATATAAAATACTAAATAAACTCTATGAAATTCTGCTATCCCATTAAATTCCTCTGGAAGTATAGACTCTGTACATCCTAGACATCTAGGACTATAGAACAATTCTATATTACAATGATGGATAGCAGAGTTTGAAGAGTTTGAGAGATGTTACAGAAATAAACACAAATGTCAGCATTTTCCCAACTTTAAGAGCATTTTCTAAGTTGACTATAATTTTTTACCAAAAAGTTATAAAATGCAAAAGGCCCTGTGGGAGATGGACCTTATCAACCTTACTTTCCAGTGGGCCACAGGGATCCTGTGTCTTCCCCATGCCTTTGCCCCTTGGTCTTCTCTTCCTGGAATGCCATTCCCTGAACCCATTAGGGGTCACCCTCAAATCCCGTTCACTTTCAGGGCTCAGTTTAGGTTTCATGTGTCTTTTCTACAAAGCCTCGGACTTTCCCAGCGAGCTGGGGACTCTTTTCTGTATGAGTCAATAATAGTATTGTGTGTATATCTCTCTATCATCATTTACCCATAAATATCCCCCACTAGCTTATAATCTCTTCGGTGACGGGTTTGAATAGCTGGTTGATTTTTAATACACACCACCTTGAGCACAGCACTGGGCAGATGTGAGGAAGCTAAGAAATTGAACTGAATTGCATCACTCAAAGGGTGCTAAGATAAAAATTGGAGAGTAGAGTTAAATAAGAATAAAATTTAGTTAGAAACGTAATCTGAGATAGTGAGGGAAGTGTGGCACAGAGTACGTGGGTAAAAGGAATGTCAGACCTGGCAAGACTACAGATTGGAGATAATGACTGACAAATAATCTGGACTTGTCCTTTGGCACTTTGGGATTTCACCCACCTTTCCATGGGCTTTTGCTTCCACATTTTAATTATTTTGAGAGAACAAGAATTTTCAAGAAGACCCTATCTCTACCACAGTGCACCAAAATTGTCTGCATGTAAAACCAGGAGAAAATGAATATACATATTTCAGTCCTTGAAAACCTTTGGATCTTAGAAGTAGGAATTTGGTGACTCACGTTGACATGATTTCTTTTTAGTCATAACTGAAAAAGCATGCAATAGCAACAGAATAGTTGAAGTGGCCTAAGTGATGTCAAGATCAATATTGCCTAGTCATCTTCTGCCCAGCAGCCATCAGTCATAGGAATACATTTTCATCAGCAATACGAACTAAATGGTGACCCTGACCAAAGACCCCAGTGTTCTAAAGCAGCCTTATTATGGAGACTTAGTGGGTCTGAGAAGGATTCCATTTATTTTAAATTTATATTGATGCTAGTAAGGGTAGTGGTAAAAACTCTTAATGGATTTCTGGAATTCCAGTCCTCAAAGGGGCTTAAAAAAAAATCATTTTATTGACATAAAATTGACATAGAGTAAAGTATGTAGATCTTAAGTGGATAACTTGATTTTTTTTATCATTATATATCCATCTTTCAGATATTAAAGTTAACAATAATGAGGGATAAGTTATATACAATAATTCATGTGGGTAGACAGTTTCATGAATAACCACCACCACAGGTAAGATACTGAACATTTTCATTAGCTCAGATAGTTTCCTTACAGAACTTTGCAGTTACTCAGCCCAAATCAAACCATTGAATCTATTTTCTGACACTATAGATTAATTTTGTCAATTCTAGAATGTCATTTGAACAGAACCATGAAGTACATACTTTTTAATGTCTGACTTTTTTCACTTTCATAATGTTATATTTATCCTAAGTGTTCTGTATATTATGATGAGACTGTAATTGGTGTTGCTTTGAGTTGCAGTAGACAAAGCCCAGGGCCCAGCCAGAGTGGGATGTCTAATTGGCGAACTCCATCATAAAGCTGGAGTCTCACGGGCTACACTTCTGTACAAGATGAAAATAAATCTAATCTTCCACTCCAAGGACTGCATGAGAAACTGCCAATGTCAAACCTTGTTGCTGGGTGGAAGGGAAGAAAAAATTTTTTCTGAGACATTGTGATCACAGCAGCCTGAATTTATGCTACCTTTCAGGAGAAAAAAAAAGCATATCCGTTCTTGAGGCTTTCATCTTTTTTTTTTTTTAAAGATTTATTTATTTTAGAGAGAGAGCAAGCAGGGGGAGGAGCAGAAAAAGAGGTAGAGGAAAAACCCAAGCAGACTTCACACTGAGCCCAACGGGGGGGGGGGGGGGGCTCAATCTCATGACTCTGAAATCACAACCTGAGCCAAAACCAAGAGTTGGACACTTAACTGACTACACCACCCAGGTGCTGAAAGCCATTCATCTTCAATCAAAGCTTAAAAGTTAAAGTTTCAAGAAAAGTGAGCTTACAATTTCAAAGTACAAAACTCACAGGGAACAAAATCACCATGAGAGACCAAGAGCCAAAGGAGGGGCCCAGGAAGAAGTACGAAGGGTGGGAGAAAAAAAGAAGGAAGGAAAGAAAGATAAGGTCCCGGTTATTTTATCAATTATACCAAACAGGAAAAAAAATCTCCAGTTGTATATAACATATTCTAGAAGACAAAATTGAAAGTAATACAACTCTGATACCAGGAATGCAGTAAAACCTTGAGAGTGTGAGATGTATTGGGTAATGAGGGATAACCGTGGTACCAAAACCAAATATTGATGACAAAGAAGACTTATAGGCCCATCCTATTCATAAAGACAATGCCAAAAAAACTGAAATAAAATATTGGCAAATCATATCCAAGAACATATAAAAGAGATATTATGGCCAAGTTGAGTTTAGCCAATAATGCAAGTATGGTTTAATATTTGAAAATCAGTCACTACTTGCATTTGACATCATACTGGAAGGCAAGAAGAAGAAGTAAAATAAATAAATTGGAAAGGAAAAAATAAAACTGTTGCAGGCGATGTGGTCATCTGTTTGGAAAATCTCAAATATACCTATAGATCAATTATTAGAAATATTATAAGATTTTAGCAAATTTGCTCTACACATAATTAATATAACATATAGCATCTATTACAATGTGTCTACAGAGAGAAAATATAATTTATAAATTATTAATTACTTTAGTAAAAGGTAAAACCTTGTCTAACAAAACATAAGCAAGACCCTTATGGAAAAAAAGAAATTTTATTGAAATAATATTAAAGAAATTTATATGAAAGGGTAAAGAAACCTTGTTCATGGATCAGAAGACTCGGTTGTTTGAGTCAGTTCTCTCTAAGTTGAGTTATACATTCAATGCAATTCCAGTAAAAATAATTCTAAAGAATTTAAAAATAGAAATTGGTAAGCTATTGCTAAAATCTGTAGAAAGAACAGTGTACCAGAAATAACCATAACATGTAACATGCCTTAGAAGAGAGATATTTATTATTAAGCTGTAGAAATTTAGTCTCTGAAGCAAAAGAAGAAACAAGTTGGTGAAGGAGCCCAGAAGCAGCCCCTCACACATATGAAAATTGGATTAGTGACAACACTCTAGGTGAGTTGAGAAATGTTTCAGTGAAGGAGACATGGTGAAATTGCAACCCCCATTTCAGTATGTACCCAAAAGTTCACTCCAGGTAGATTGACTACTCAGATGCAAAAAGTAAAACTATAAAATTTAGAAGACACCATAGA